TTCTGGATGAGCGGCGGCGGCAAGATGGGCGAAAACATCTTCCAGTACTGGGGTGACGACGGTCCTGACAACCTCGCCTTTGTCAAGCGCGACGACAACTGCGAATACCACCCCGATGACAAGATCATCTTTTGCCACAATTGATGGTGCATCCAGATGCAAGCTCGCCAAGGTCCGATGGTCCCGTTTTCCGCACAGTCGCAATGACGGCGATGCGCATCGACGAAATGCAATCCAAGCCTTGTCAAGTCGAAGCTGGGTGGGGCTGAACGCCGGCGTGGCTGTGATTGAGAGGCTGTGGGGGTGGTGAGGAAGCTGAGCAGCTCCTCGACCTTGCCAGTCTCGTTGTCTTGCCTCGGACCACCGAGCATTGAGGTCGTCCGTGTAAATTGAGGTGCCGCACGTGGGAGCGACGCATGTGATCATCGCATCGACCTAGTCGACAAAAGGCTTGTTTTCTCCCTCAGCTCACGTCGGTCGATCGATGCATGAAGCCGCGCGTTCCGGTCTCTTGGTGTGTGGGGCTCCCATATTGAAAGAGAGTGAGTCTTTCCGTTGGCAACGAACTCGGCCAAGAAGAGCACGCAGCTAGAAACCCACCCGCACGCAAACTGTCCCCACCCGCAACGCACCCACGATCCACATTCAGAGCTTATGAAAGTGGGTCGCGCGGTCAGCACAGCCTCATCAGCACGAAGGCGTGGCTTGTCCCAACGCCACGGATAAAGACCCAACGGCAGCGCCATCCGATCTCGTTTCTTTCTCACGCCACCTACTTGTCTCCCATTCCACCATGCAGATCCACAACCTGCTGCCCATCTTCGCTCTTCTCGGGGCTGTCTACGCCGAAACTCGAGGCGAATGCTTGGAGCGCGAAGCAGCTGCTTCGATGGCATCCGCACCCTACGAAGCGGACATCGCCATCTGCTACCACGGCCACAATAGCGCATACTCCAACGACGGCAACACGAACAAGAGCTCGGATCAATTCGGCGGCCTGCGTTGGGCAGACTGCCACGGCGTGGGATTAGACTGCTTCTGGATGAAGACCTACAACATCTTCGAATACTGGGGCGACGCTGGCTCCGACAACCTCGCTTTCGTCAAGAGGAATGACAAGTGCGAATACAAGCCCGCCGACAAGGCCATCTGGTGCCACGAATATCATTAAGAGACATGCTCCAAGCCCCGCCTGCATCTTCTTAGCCTCAAAATCGAGTCGATACACTGCCGAGTGCCCAACGCAACTCGCTCCAACCCCCCCCCCCCCCCCCTC